TTCTGGCTCCCCTGGTGACTCAGACAGTACAGAATCTGCCTGCAGTGTGGGAGACCTGGGTTCGATCCCTGGCTTGGGAAGAGCCTCTGGAAGAGGGCATGCCAACCCACTCCAGTATTCTTGCCTGGAGAATCCCCATGGAGAGAGGAACCAGGTTGGCCTGAGTCCATAGGTTTGCAAAGAGTAGGACACAACTGAAGCAACTTAGCACACACACAGGCCTGAGAGTAAGACCAGTGTATGTGGTCAGGTTGTATAGTTTTATCTTGGAGGGAATCTCTTTGAGGTAATAGGCTAAAATAAAAGTTTCATTCAGGATTTAAGTTGCTTAAAGTGGCGGAGCCAACAGAGTTCTGTCTAAAGTCAGAGCCTGTGATGGTAGGGACTGTTATTAACTGCTGTTTTCCTTGGAAAGATAGGATAAAACTTCTGAATTCTCTAATTTTCAAACACTTGAGTCAGTTAATCAGAAAGTACCTTTGGTGAAGGAATGAATCCATGCGTCCTACACCTTCTACTTGACTTATTTGATTCGGAGGGTAGGCTGTGGAGAAGACTGAGATATAAGAAGTTCTATATTTGGTTACTTTCCAGTGTATTTTTACTAGCACTGCTTTTATACTTCTAATTTAGACTCAACTTTGTATTCCTCTTTGCAAAAGTGAAATGTGGTTAGTGACTGGGCTGTTTCTAAGGTTTGTTGTGTTTTTTTTTTCCCTTGACATAAATGCATTTTGGTAGATCCTTTCTCTTTAAGTGAATTATGTTTTCATATTTCTTTCTGTTTATCTCCTCCCCCCAAAAAAGGTCTTGAGTATGCTTTTCTTTTATATACAAGAAACGCTCATTTTCAGCATGGATTGAGAAAAATAATTGTATTAAAATCAATGTTTGATGATATGGCATTTCTGTTTTAATTAGTTTCTCCCTACTCTTCCCCTTTATATTATTTGAAAGATGGAAATAATTTACTTAAGCCTTCTCAGTTCAGTTCAGTTCAATCGCTCAGTTGTGTCTGACTCTTTGCGACCCCATGGACTGCAGCATGCCAGGCCTACCTGTCCATCACCAACTCCTGGAGTTTACTCAAACTCATGTCCATTGAGTTGGTGATGCCATCCAAGCATCTCATCCTCTGTCGTTCCTTTCTCCTCCCACCTTCAGTCTTTCCCAGTATCAGGGTCTTTTCAAATGAGTCAGTTCTTCTCATCAGGTGGCCAGAGTATTGGAGTTTCACCTTCAGCATCAGTCCTTCCAATGAATATTCAGTACTGATTTCCTGTAGGATTGACTGATAGGAACTCCTTGCAGTCCAAGGGACTCTCAAGAGTCTTCTCCAACACCACAGTTCAAAAGCATCAGTTCTTCGGAGCTTAGCTTTTTTTATAGTCCAACTCTCACATCCATACATGACTACTGGAAAAACCAAACTTTGACTAGATGGACTTTTGTTGGCAAAGTAATGCCTCTGCTTTTTAATATGCTGTCTAGGTTGGTCATAACTTTTTTTCCAAGGAGCAAGCATCTTTTAATTTCATGGCTGCAGTCACCATCGCAGTGATTTTGGAGCCCCCAAAAATAAAGTCTTCACTGTTTCCATTGTTTCCCCATCTATTAGCTATGAAGTGACGGCACCAGATGCCATGATGTTAGTTTTCTGAATGTTGAGCTTTAAGCCAACTTTTTCACTCTCCTCTTTTACTTTCATCAAGAGGCTCCTTAGTTGTTCTTCGCTTTCTGCCATAAGGGTGGTGTCATCTACATATCTGAGGTTTTTGATATTTCTCCTGGCAATCTTGATTCCAGCTTGTGCTTCTTCCAGCCCAGCGTTTCTCATGATGTACTCTACATATAAGTTAAATAAGCAGGGTGACAGTATACAACCTTGACGTACTCCTTTTCCTATTTGGAACCAGTCTTTTGTTCCATGTCCCAGTTCTAACTGTTGGCTTCTGACCTGCATACAGGTGTCTCAAGAGGCAGGTCAGGTGGTCTTGTATTCCCATCTCTTTCAGAATTTTCCACAGTTTGTTGTGATCCACACAGTCAGAGACATTGGCACAGTCAGTAAAACAGAAGTACATGTTTTTCTGGAGATCTGTCGCTTTTTCAGTGATCCAGTGGATGTTGGCAATTTGATCTCTGGTTCCTCTGCCTTTTCTTAAACCAGCTTGAACATCTGGAAGTTCATGGTTCACGTATTGCTGAAGCCTGGCTTGGAGAATTTTGCACATTACTTTACTAGCGTGTGAGATGAGTGCAATTGTGCGATAGTTTGAGCATTCTTTGGCTTTGCCTTTCTCTGGGATTGGAATGAAAACTGACCTTTTCCAGTCCTGTGGCCACTACTGAGTTTCCCCAATTTGCTGGCATATTGAATGCAGCCCTTTCACAGCATCATCTTTTAGGATTTGAAATATAGCTCAACTGGAATTCCATCACCTCCACTAGCTTTGTTCATAGTGATGCTTTCTAAGGCCCGCTTGACTTCTCATTACAGGATGTATGGCTCTAGGTGAGTGATCACACCATTGTGATTATCTAGGTCATGAAGATCTTTTTTGTATAGTTCTCCTGTGTATTCTTGCCACCTCCTCTTAATCTTTTCTGCTTCTGTTATGTCCATACCATTTCTGTCCTTTATTGTGCCCATCTTTGCATGGAATGTTCCCTTGGTATTTCTAATTTTCTTGAAGAGATCTCTAGTCTTTTCCATTGTATTGTTTTCCTCTATTTCTTTGCATTGATCACTGAGGAAGGCTTTCTTATCTCTCCTTGCTATTCTTTGGAACTCTGCAGCCAAACAGGTATATCTTTCCTTTGCTCCTTTGCTGTTTGCTTCTCTTCTTTTCTCAGCTATTTGTAAGGCCTCCTCAGATAATCATTTTGCCTTTTTGCATTTCTTTTTCTTGGGGATGGTCTTGATCATTGCCTCCTGTTCAGTGTCACAAACCTATGTCCATAATTCTTCAGGCACTCTGTCAGATCTAATCCCTTGAATCTATTTGTCACTTCCACTGTATAATCATAAGGGATTTGATTTAGGTCATACCTGAATGGTCTAGGGGTTTTCCCTGTTTTCTTCAATTTAAGTCTAAATTTGGCAATAAGGAGTTCATGATCTGAGCCACAGTCAGCTCCCGGTTTTGTTTTTGCTATCTGTATAGAGCTTCTCCATCTTTGGCTGCAAAGAATATAATCAGTCTGATTTTGGCATTAACCATCTGGTGATGTCCATGTGTAGAGTCTTCTCTTGTGTTGTTGGAAGAGGGTGTTTGTTGTGACCAGTGCGTTCTCTAGGCAAAACTCTTTTCGCTTTTGCTCTGCTTCATTCTGTATGTCAAGACCAAATTTGCCTGTTACTCTAGGTGTTTCTTGACTTCCTACTTTTGCATTCCAGTCCCCTATAATGAAAAGGACATCTTTTTTGGACATCAGATGACCATTATATCTACTACTGTGGGCAATAATCCCTTAGAAGAAATGGAGTATCCATCATAGTCAACAAAAGAGTCCAAAATGCAGTACTTGGGTGCGATCTCAAAAATGACAGAATGATCTCTGTTCATTGCCAAGGCAAACCATTCAATATCACAGTAATCCAAAACTATGCCCCGACCAGTAATGCTGAAAAAGCTGAAGTCGAACGGTTCTATGAAGACCTACAAGACCTTGTAGAACTAACACTTAAGGCTTTTAGCAATGGTTTAACAAGCTGAAAATTTTTATTACATTCAGAAAGATATAAGATTTGCCAAATGCTTTGAAGATGAAAATTTCAAGTGTTAGGTAATAGTTTTCAAAAGAAGATTTTGAGTTGACTCTTTATTGTGGACAAAGATCATTTAATACTACAACTTCTAATTTTAGCTTTCCTTCATGATATTCTTTCTTATTCCTATCTGCATGAAATTCAGGATACATATTTTAACTGGGAGGATCAAAGTATTTTTGAATTCAGTAAACAGTTAACTGTTTTCTAGCAATATTGCTTAGAAATAGTTAACCAGCAATATTGTTTGCTACCAAGGATAAAATGTTTTCTAATGCTACTTTTATTTTTTTAATCACTTAAGTACAAATAATAATCTTCCTTAAAAATGTTGCTTTTCTTGGAATACTAGGCAAGTCCCTTAAACTCTGTGCCTTGGTTCTTTAGAAAATGAACATAGGATTCTAATTGGTCTTCTGAAGTTTTTTCCAACATTGATTCTACTATCTTTAGAGGATATCTTTATTATTATTTCTGTCCAAAATGCATGTAATAATAATTATAAAATAATTTTTGAATAGTAGATATAAATTTTATTTTATGGACAATTATAATATTATAAAATATATTTAAAAGATACAGTATTCTTTAATCTGGGATACAAAAGTAATCATAGTCTAATAAAGGCATTTATGCTTTTTCATTTCAGAGAATTCTATGCTTGTGCCTTTCTTGAGTTGGAGATACCTCAGAGTAAGAAGTAGTTCCTTGAGTCATAACATTCCTCTTTTTAGCTTCTTTAGGAGGGAAAAATTCAATGTGATAGCAAATTAAAATATTTGATGAAAGTGCTGGATGAAAGAGCAGGAGTAGACTAGTGGTCTGTTTGAAGAAGCCAATTTATAGCTGATATACACTAGTATATGCCTTCTTACATGTTAAGGATGATATATAATACTTATTTTTTTAATACAAAGAAAGGTGTTGGAGCATCTTGGGTTATTTGATATCTTGACTGTCTAGTTTTATATGGTTTAAAAATTTTAGTAACTTTTTCAGTATATCATCAGCATGAAAAGAAAAGCCAAGAAGAAAATGGGAGTCAGAATGAATGGAGAATCCTTTGTGCAGTTCACTAAAATTATAATAAAAGAAAAATGTCTGCTAATAATTTTTACAACAGTAATTACATGAAGTTTAGTGTGTGTGTGTATGAATAATATAATTCTTGTGAGTGGAAAGACATTAATTTTGTGCTCATAAAAATTTTTTCTCTTTCTCCCAACAGAATCTGTCTATGATCTTCTCCCAAAGGAGTTACAGTTACCTCCATCTAGAGAAACATCTGTAGCATCAATGAGTCAGACAAGTGGTGGTGAGGCAGGCTCGCCTCCTCCAGCTGTAGTTGCTGCTGGTATGCATATCATTTTATTTTTTAAAGAAAACTAAAGCATTATCTGGTCAACATGAACAGTGCTGGCAAAATTTGTATTAAAGAGTGTGATTTGAGGGTTTGTTTCAGGAGGTTTTAAAATACATACTTTTAACATTAAAATTTTTCTATAAAATAGTCTTATACATTTATTATTTCTTAAAATTTCACATTGGCATATTTGTTAGTGCCATCTCCCAGAATGGATCTTATCTTCAACTATGGGAGTGAGTTTAAAGCTCTTTGGTTGACTGCACATAATAAAGTTATTAAAGACCAAGCTGTGGGTAGAAAATTACATTTGAGTCTATAAAACAGTTATTTTTGAAAGTTTGCTCAAAGGGGAAAATGTTTTATTTCGTGTAATCTGAAAAAGGACTCAAGCACTCAAGTTTTTTTTTGTTTGTAGCGTGTTACTATAACCTTTTCTCTACATTTAAAAACATGTGTGACCTTACACTTACTTTAAATTCAATCAAAAGTAATGGAAGCTCTGAATGTAATGTTTATATAAAGATACTTTTTTTATATCAGTGAAAAAGTATGAAAAATGTTTGAAATTTATCAAGTTTATTTTTAATCAGCTCTCAAATCATACACTTTATAATTATATAAAATTGGTTCAAATTTTTACTGAATTAAAAGAAAAAATTGACAGATAAACTAATAAGAAAATGTCTTGATTATGATAAATAATAAGAATGCTTTCAATAATACTGGATTGCCCAACTGTAATTCTTTTTTTAGTTGGGTTTACAGATTACTAAGTGTGTTTGGTTTTTTTAAAAAAGTTAAAAAATTATATGAACATACTCTGAAGCTTTATCTGTCTCTTACTAATTAGAGGTTTCTTGCCCAATATGATACCTCTCATCTTTTAAAATGGTACTTAAAAATCCATCAGAGGATTGTTTTCAGTAAATTCTTTTTTGTTTCAAAGAGAACAGTGAAGTGGAAGGTTGTGGTTTAAATGAGGATATTGGTACTCAAGTAGAACTTTGGGTATTTTTCTTATTTGTATTCAATTTTGTGTACCAATATTTCCCCTGAGCCGTACAGTGCAATCTGCAGCCTTCCTGGTTGAGGGCAGGAAAACTTTAACCATGGCCAAGAAACATACCAGCCCTGCTCACTGTTCATGTGTTGCCAGACATTTTCTAACAGATTCTGTGGATTTAATTGTGAACTTTTTAGTAATTGAATTGTAAAGATGACCTGGTTTTATTTTATATGCACTGAATATTTTTTCTGGAATTTAAGTATTTAGTTTTAAAATAGTATCAGATAATAAAATATTTTTAAAAAAATTTAAATGAAATATTTCACTTTAAATCCACAGGTAGAAATTGACTAACTGATTTCTTTTGTATCTTTTGAGATTTTTTTTTTAAAGCCATGTTGAATCTGTGTAGAACTAAAAGTCTGTTTCTTCTGTGCTTTTTAACATCTGTTGACAGTAGATCCAGTTCCTTTTAAAAGCTGAAAAATGTTAGCTAGGTTTGGAAAAAGAACAACACTTCCTTTTAAATAATACCAAACTCAGTTTTAGAAGTTTTTATATATAAATATTGAAAGTTTTTTAATTTGAGTCACTGATGGAATGTTGATTCTTCCTTCCTCTCCCTCCCTCCCTCCATAATCCTCTCCAGATAAATTAGAATGAAGGCTTTGAGTTGAAAAATCATGAAAGTAAGAATTAACTAAAGGAAGTATTCTGAAGTAATGAGGTCTTTTATTAGATCAAGCAGTTATTGACATTGTAAGATTGTGAAAAGAGTAAGGAGGTGACCTTGACAATTTTCATATATTCATACACAAAGTTTCTGTGATCTAAAACCCATTTGTAATTTTTTTTTACATATTTACTTTTAAGCAACATAGACTTATTCTAGAATTCTAGTGTCTTATTGATAGAGCCGTCATCATATAACATTATAGGTAAGAGAGTTTAAATTGCAGAATAATTATTGTAGGGAGTTCAGTTAGTATATATATTTAGAGTTGCTTTTTTAAAATTTGGCATATTAATATCCTTAGTGACATAAATGTCAAAAAGAGTTTTGGAGTAAATTACCAGTTACTCTCAGTGTTTCCTGGCCAAAAGACTAGATATTTAGGGAAAGATACATTAATTTAGACTTTTGTGATTTTTTTTTAAATCTATAGCATTTGCTGTTTTAATATGAAATGCATAAAAATGATGACTCTTGATGTAGTTAATTCTTCAGAGTTTTGAAGGAGCTGGATTGGCTGCTATCAGGTATGAGGGCCTGGTGGGAACAGACTTCTAGTTCTGCCATAAAGGTTTGTGTTTCACAAATTCTGAATCAATTTAAATTTTAAAATTTAGAGACTGGGCATATAGATATTTATGTACATTTTAAGTTATTTAATTATTAAAAATGTGTTTCTCAGATTCGCCAATCTATTTTTTTTCCCTTTACTTATTACCGAAGGATTGAATAAACATGATGCTGCTAATCCACAATCCAGAATATTGGGTAAAAGAATGTCTCTTAAACCTCCTTTCCTGTCTCTACACTATACACACTTTTAATACTGTCATTTATAATATCTTTAGTCTTGTAAGACCCTGGATTGGCAGTAGGGGAAAGAGGGCTTCCTTCTTCACAATGTCTCCCCTCTCCAGAGGGCCAACTGTCACAGTCTGAAGGTGTAGTTGAAAGTCAGCAGTCTGGAATTTGTATTTTAAATCATTTTTTAAAAACATCTGTTTTTATCCCACTAGAAAGTTTCTTAGTAGTTTGAGATTCAATATGTGAATGTATAAAAGTTTTAAAGTACAGACTTCCTGAAGAATAGTGTAGGTTTTTGGTAATTAAGATAGAGGCCATTTTTCTAACATAAAGTTATCCACATGAACTTATCATATTTTTTGGCAAAATAAAGAGTTGTTCAAGGAGTAGATAAAAAATGCAAGTTGTGAAAGGATTCTTTTTGTTGTTTCTTTAATCCTATAGTGTAGGTTATAAGACACTAAAATATATTAGTAAGAATTACTAAGAATTAAAACAGTCACATTAGAACTTAGGGGTTTTAAAGAGATATGGCAGATATTTTTCTTAAATAACAGCTTTATTGAGATATTGTTGTAAACTGAAAGGTGAATTGATCTTGGTTATTCCATATGATCAATTCCTACTTTTCCTAGAAAACTGGACCACTTCCAAAAGTAAGTCAGTTTCAAACAGGTTACCAAGTAAGTTTTAAAACTACCCCTCAAAAAAAAAAAAAAAACTACCCCTCATTCTGTCTTTTAAAATTACATATAAAAATAAAATTAAAAAAAAATAAAATTGCATATAAATACATACATTTATACATACAGAAATATGTGTGTATGGACCTATGTATAGATGTTTACTAACATCTGCATTATTAGAATGAAAAAAGCATCAGCAGTCTTGGACCATAATGGTTAATTCAGAAACAATTACCAATTTGGGATACTGTCCATATTGTAAATTTTCATTGACAAAAAGTACACATGGCCTATTAATGATTTATTCCCTAAATGTTTACCTTTTTTGTCCTCTTAATTTTTAGCAACTTTTATAAAATACATTGTGATTTATTCATTTTCTGATAGAATAAGCACATTTTTGTGTCACCCGAGTTTTAGAATAGCATTCTGAAACTGCACAGATTCTCAACCATTCTTAGACAAAAGATGTATATCAAATAGACACAGTTTCTTTTTTCCCTGTGTTTTGTAGAATTTCACATTAATAAGTTAATGTACAGAAGTGGGCTTACTTTTTTATGTTACCAATAAGATTGATAATAAGCAAAAGGTATTACCATAACCGTTTTATAATAATTAGTTGTATAGATAATGGTGACCGAATTATATATGAAGACACCCCAGCTGTCCTAGAGTGAGGGGATTGATACGGGTAGGATATAACAAGAGACTCCACCTGTTTCTGAAACATTGTTTTTCTTTTCCTATATGTGAAATACAATAAAATTAGCTTGAGCTTTTGGAATCATAAAGAACTAATATGAATTGATTGCTATCTTATCATTTCTATCATATAGACAGAATCTTGTGGAAATTCAGTAAATTTTTCATATTACCCCTGTAACTGGACAGTAATGACAACTTTCTTAAGGCTATTATGAAGATAGATACTTAATATTGCTTGATGATTAATAATGTTTAGATGAACATTGACCTCCCTCCCACATGGATTTCTCCTTTCATTTGTTAGTAAGGTTTTTAAAAATAGATCTTATTTTTATAAAAATAAGTTTTTAAGCTTTGTTTTGCTTCTTTCTTTCCAGTCTCACTCTGTTTTTTACATTGTTTTGAAGTTTTGTGTATCAGACAACACACGGGCCATGGGGTTTCCTCTCTGAGTTAGTCTTTAATGTTGACACTCTCTCACTGGGAACCTTTGTAAATAAAAAAAAACATGGATGGAGGATGATGACTCATAGGGAGAACAGACATTTCCCAGTGAGATGATTCCACAAATTTGACTGATTAAGTATTCTTCCTAGAATGCTCTTCCCAGTTTTTACAACATTAAATGATAAAGTTGGATGATCGATTATCAAAACTTTTTAGTAGAGCAATTTATTGCTTTTGGTTTTTGTCTAGATGTTTTATTTTATCTACAGTTGGATCTAATATACACTCTAAAACAGACCCCCCCCCAAAAAAAAAATAAAACAGATCCAGTTGTAAAACCATTCTGAATAATTAAATTAGAAGATTTTGATGATACAAAAACTATTTTCTTTTGCTTTTTTTGGTCGAGTCTAAAAAAAGAAATGTAAAGACATTGGACTGGTGTTGGCAGGGGTGCCTTTATTATTTACTCTAAACTATTTTAAAATGTATTGTATGATAAAGCTTTGACGTGACCTTCAAATAGCATCCCTCAGAACTGCTTTTTCTCTCCAGTCCTTAAGTTAATGTGGTGGTAATCTCTCTTTTTGTCTTCAAGTAAACA